TCTCTTATGAGAATAGTTGCAAGATTATGTGTGAACATGCTATGTGTCATATGTTAGGCAGTGGTCTAATGTACAGGTAGACCTGGAGCACAGAGGTAGCACAAAATAATTAAAGCATAAACAAATCAGAAATAAACCATGGACAGAAACATTCGGATGCCTTTGATTGCATTCACGTGGGGAAGTACTCTGAGGCTGGCATTAGTGAGTGCGAGTCCCATCCGTGACGGTTGCCGCTTGTGATCAGGACTCCAATGATGGTGCGGCTGCAAGAAGCTTGTCAGCGCTTAGCCAATGCCCGAAGTAGGAAATCGAAAGTCTTGCACTTCGGGGGCTAGGGAGGCTGCAGCATTCAGGCGGTTTAATTGAGCATCCCTCCCGCCCCAGGCCGGTTGGTAGGCCAGCATCCTCTTGCCACGGACGTGTGGGCTCCTAGGGTCCCAGTCCTCCCCTGCATGGGGTAGATGGGAGGTCGTGATGGTATTCCACTGCCGGTTGCGGGCGATCTTCCGTCTGCGTGGGTGATGCCGTGGGGCTGTGCCCGTTTCGGCCCTCGGCCTGAGTGATCTCTGACTAATAGGCTTACGTATGTTTAATGCGTGGGGGATCAGAGGGGGCCAACTCACCGCCCTACCGTGAACCTCCCTGTGTTGAATTGCTGCTGCGGCTTGGCGGGCTTCCAGCTTAGCCCAGAAACAGTCGAAAATGTCATCCAGCTTCTTCTGCGTTATTTGCGCGGGAGTTAGCAGTGCCGTCTCAGACTGCGTGATGGCTGGTTCCCGCTGGATATTACAGGCCGCCATTTTGTGAGCTTTGCTAGGTTGTATTTTAGTGGGGCTGTTCCGTGCGTGAGACTAGCCAGTTCGGACCGGGATGACCCCCGCCGGTCCAAAGAGGGGGGGGAACAGGGCTGAGAGAAGAGCTTGGGGTTGCACAGCTGCACACCGAGCAGGGGATCGGCCGCTTTCCCCGCCCGACGGCCGTACTAGGCCTCACTCCTCCGACCTCCATCGGCCGCGTAGTGTACCCGCGGGCGACAGACCCGGGGTTCCTCTGCTGGCTCCAGAGGTAGGTAAGTCTCTTTTCGTGGCGTTGTGGCTGGCTGGCTGGCTAGATTCAGGCTTAGTTGAGGCATTGAGCTCGGAGCTCACACGAAGTGCGTCCAGCCGCCATGATGTCCAGGCCCCGCCCCCCACTAGTAGTCATTTTGACAAAAAGGTCCACATGTGGAGTATCTTTTAAATTAGGGGTGAACCAACTCTGAGGCTTTAATTTTGTTAGTGGTTTATTGATATTCTGTTCTTCTAACAAATCCGTAAGTATTTTAGAGAATTCAAAATCCTCCAAAGATAGACCTAACTCATTGGCCATAACCAGATCTTTTTTAGAGTGCATTAAATTTAATGCCAGTTTTCTACCAAAAAGGTTTATGTCCTTTGACCAATTGAATTTATTATGACCTGGGGTTGGTACATATGACAGACCTTTATTTAAAAGAGAGATATGTCTTGGTTGAAGTGAAAAGTTTGAAAGGTTGATAATTTTGTTAGATGCTAGAATCTCTGACCCCGTCCTTGCCTCTTGTATGCCCAGCGATCCCTGTCCCTTAGTCTCCCCCTTTGTTCGCGAGGGGGATCCTGTCCTAAAAAAGTTTTAGAGACAGTAGTGTTATTTGTATCAGAACTAATGGGGGCATCCAAAAAGGCAACCGATTTATCAGCGCTCTTTAGAATGCTCCTAGTTGGTGAATAGGTAGGGGCAGGATCGTTGTAGCGGGTGTTGTTAATATTTTGTCTTGATCTTGACTTTG